TGAAAGCAATCACCGCAGTGAAGTATTGGAAGCTGGTAGTTGTTGGACCAGAGTACAGTGATTGTGAACTCCTTGATGACTTGGGAATGTTTTCAATGGACGAGGGAACTGTTAAACATTTCAGAATTAGTACAACAAGGATGTTCGACGACACTCTTCGGTGGTCTTATGTGATTGGTTGTGGACACAAGGTTGCAAGACTATTAATTGGAGATCCCAATTTTAGTTGGACTGTTATTTTTAAGGAATTTGTATTGAAGGACATAGACGAAGAAGTGGATAAAGCATTTCCCTCCTTCACTAATATTTATTTGCGTGTAGATGTTATTTCTGCAATTGATTCTACCATTGTCGGGAATGCTCAAATTGCACTATTAGAGGCAGGAATGGTTGTGCATTCAGTACACCGACACCAACCACAAGATAACAAGCTATTACGAAATGGGAATAGCATGGAGGAATATATCAGTAGCTGTTGTGTGAGATTATTTATACATTTTGTTGTGACATATAACATGGATGTTGTTTATATGATTCATCTAGGGGTGGTACCGCTAACTGGACGAGAACCTACCAGATTGCTGGAGTAGCTAAGAGGATGAACACGTCTGTTTCTATGGCAGCTGAAAGTAATAAGTTTACTTGTCTTATGTCACTGGATCGGCCAAAGGCATTATCCTACAAACATCACCTTAGAGGAGTATGTTGCAATGACATTTGCCATTGTAGAGGGGTTATCGTTCTAGTTAAAGCTGGACAATATGTTCAAGAGGCAACGGGAGTAATGTCAATTTCCTTAATACTCTCCAAAGACAACATAAAATTACACCTCACATCAGAACATCTAGATCATTTTATCTGGCCTAGTTCATTGCTAGATGGAGGAATGTTGTTTCACTTTACACTTGTGACTTTGAAGTGTGTGGAAATTGTTACTCGTCAGATAATTTAGAGAGTTTTGGATGAATTTCATGACTTGAACCTTGAGGACAAGGTTCTTTTTGAGGCTGGGAGTATTGTTGTGAACCCGACGTGACTTGGTAAGGGCCTATGGGCTATTAGATACTTTTATTTGGGGATCCAGGCCCAATTAGTATCTCTATTAAAAAGAACTAGAAGTTAGAAGAAGGGGCATGGAATTTATGTGAAGCTTTTGGCTTTCTGATCCTCTCATCTCCTTTCTATGGTCTAGTATCTCAGCCCCTTCTAGTTACCTTCGTCTATGTGAAGTTATCCGTAATTAGTGTGTTATTACTTTGTTGTGCATATATAAAGAAGGCATAAAAAGTGAATGTATATTATTGTACAAAAGATCAGAAGAGCCATAGCAAAATAAGAACAAAAAGAACTTAAAAAGGATTCTCACCTTGTGTTGTTGATGAGGGTGGCAACAAATGAGAGATCAATTGGTCCAAAAGGTGATGGTAACAGAAATATAAAATGAGTAATGTGCACACTCACATGTATGATTAATGATCAATACAAGTGATGAGAACTAATCAAAATTTGCAAAAACAATGGTTTTAGCCTCCAAGAAGCTTCACTAAACAAGCTCGTACTACTAGTCATGTTTTTTTTTGGGAATTCCAAGTAAACCCACAACCTCTATCATATATATCCTCTGCCTGTTGGGTGAGTACTTTGTGGTAACCTGCTCACAGGAGATATAAAACGCACTAGGTAAGCCCCATGCGATGAACTCATGACTGAGTCGCAAATGAAGGCTAGATTCGATCTAGTAGATGTCCCACATGGGAGACCCACGTCCCAACCACTCAAGCAGGGCACTACTAGCTAGTGATGTTTCTCATTAAGACAAATCACTTCCACTCTTCCCGTCTCAGCCTAGTCTTGCTCAGCCATAGAAATCCTAGTGTATTATTTTGCTCCATTTCAATCCAAAACTAAATAACTATCTTTTAAGGTCATTTTGGAGTTCTGTAAAGTTAGAGGTTCTCTAAATTCAAAATTATAAAGTTATCTATCTGGATGTAAAAGAAGTTGGTATTCACAGTTGTTTTAGTAGTGGCAACTCATAACATGTTGAATGCTGGACAAAGATTGTTAGACTCCATTTTTCGGACATGGAAGGGTAATGCAGTGATGCCAAAAGGCAGGTTTATCTCTTATCTACGGAAAGGAAGATTAGACTCATTTTATGATTTTGGACGATCTTCACCACCTAATATGGCTAACCTGGAGACTGTCACATCCAGTGTTTTCTTCTATATCTTTTTTGATGTTCACAGCTGAAACGACAAGTGAATGAATGCATTTATACAATGCAATAAGTTGCAGTGTTGGAATATCCGCAAAGCTAGGAGGGATATATATAGTTATGATTTCTAATTTAGTTTAACAACTCTAAAGTTTAATGCACACCCCTAACAAAAATAGTAATTATAAGATAATTTAACTAAATTATTCTTATTTATTACTTTTTTATATTTAATATTTCTCTTTTTTTGCACCACATTAATATATGTTTATATTTATGACCAAGAATAAAGGTGAAAAAAATAACTAATTAAACCTTTAAGTTTTTATTCATAAATTGAGATAACTATTTTTAATAAAAGAACAAAATCATATAAAACGAAAGGATTACTAAAGTAAGCATTCCGACATATAACAGAAATAAAGTATGATATTTGTAAAAAAGGTAGTATTTGAAAAATGTTTTCAGAAAAAGTTATTTGGAAGTTGATATGTTAAGAAATGCATTTAACTTTTTTTTTTAAAAAAAATGTGAATAAAAAACATCACTTGACAATCTGGATAGTCTATTTTCTGATGAAATTAATTTTGAATATACAGATATATGAAATTGATACTGAATACATAAATATATTAAATTTGTGAAACTTAAATACATTCTGAAATACAAATAAATAGGGAGATTTGCGAATCTTGCAGAAGAAAATAGGGAGAAACTATCTATAAGTAATTACCTGCAGAAGAAAAGAAGAAATACAATATTGTTTAGGACAATAAAAGAACTTGGAGACTGTCACATCCTGTGTTTTCTTCGATTTCTCTTTTGATATTCATAGCTGAAACCCCAAGAGAGTCCGTGTAGTCATACAATTTAATAAGTCGCAGTGTTGGAATATCTGCAAAGCTCGGAGGGATCTCCTCGTAGAAGTAACCAGTTCTTATAGATAGTTCCTCAAGCACGGGAAAGGATTCCTCTGAAGCTTTCCATTCTTCCATACTCACAAAGTGTAATGCCAAGTATTTGAGTGCAGGGAACTCCACATTTGTGACGTCCCAACAAGTGTACTCTGATTTCCATGGTGAAAATCCCCCCTCTAATGTGAGACTTTGAAGCTTCTTCAATCTTGCAATGTTTATAATCATTTCTTTCGTTAAGAAACAACCGCCAATGCACAAATGCCTAAGATTTGAAGGGAAGACAAAGTAGCTCTCCTAGCCAACTGAACCCAAGAATCCCCGAGGGCTTATGACCAGATTAAGAGATTGAAGACGAGTATGAACTTCCACTGAGGGAAACAAAGGACAACTAGGTAAAGCTTCAACACGGAGGCTGAGTTCTTTAAGATTCGCGAATCTCCACCAAAACCTTGGATTCATATCATCCACACATATACGATGAGAGTGTAATGTCTTCAAGTTCTCTAGCATAGTAGTTGAAGATTCTTCAAAAATTGATCTATCATTGTCATCCCATACCAAGCAAAGTTTGTTTACATTCACATGCCTCAGCTTCTTCATTTTCCAGATAGTTGCAGGTGATGTCCTTCTAAATTTAGATGAATCAACCACTAGAGTTTGAAGATCCAACAGGTGAGATATCCACTTGAAATCAAATTCTTCGACAGAAATTTCAAGGTATCTCAAGTGAGTCAGGGATTGTACCGCGATAGGCCAAGAACTTGGCAGATCCTCATAAGGAAAATGCAACACCCGAACAAGTCTCAACTTAACAAGTAAGGGTAAAGGATTTGATCTGTTCCATGTGTTGAAATTTGGATGAGCAATGAACTCCAAGGATCTAGAACATTCACCAAAACACTTTGTACTTTCCTTAGACTCAGGAATCTTATCAAACTGATATTCGCAATGATCTAATTGTTTAACAAGATCATCATGAATATAAAAGCATAACCGTGAATTCATAGAACATAAATGCTGATATGGACTGTATGGCACTGTGAGCTGCATAAACTTTTCTTTCTTTAAGTTTTCTCAAGCAAAACTCACGCACTACATCATGAAGTATGCACATTTCTATGTCACCATTGATTTTCTTTTGAGAGACCATTACAAGGCTTCTATTAAGTAGATCGTTCAAGCAATTTCGAGATGCTTCCTCCATGTTCTCTGTTTCGACATTCAATACAAACTCTTCAGCCATCCACAACTTCAGCAGATCGTCCACTGCAATCTTATGGTCCTCTGGAAACAATCCCATGTAAAGAAGGCAGTGCTTTAAGTGGTTTTCTAAATGGTTATAACTTGATTGTATTACCTTCATACTCTGCTCTCCTAAAGCAAGGGAACTTAAGTCATTTGCAACCTTGAGCCACAAGGACGCCTCTCTTCCCATTTTTGCAATAATTCCAGCAATCAGAACAACCACAAGAGGCAATCCCTTACAGTGTTTGGACAATTTGTAATCCTGCTTCCACTAGATTTGAGGGACAATTCTCTCCTCGAAACACTTTCTTCTGCAATAATACGCAACTCTCTTCCATTGTTAGAAATCTAAGAGAATAAGGATCACTACAGTGCTGGAGATGCTTAGCAACTTGTTCAATTCTAGTTGTTACCATTACTCTGCATCCGTTTTCACCTCTAGGGAAACATAATCTCAAATCCTCCCATGCCTCGACTTCCCATACATCATCTAACACGATGAGGTATCTCTTGCCTATTAGAATCTTGCGCAACATGTCAGCTACGTTATCATTCTCCTTGATTTTGCACTCTTTATTTATAGCTTGTTTGAAAATCTCAACCAACAACGTCATCCTATTATATGCTTGAGACACAGCACACCATACTTTAACATCAAAGTGATTAACAATAGAAGGATTGTTGTACACTTTCCTGGCCAAAGTTGTTTTTCCGAGTCCTGGCATTCCAAAGATTGAGAGGACATCCAACTCCTTTGTTCTTCCAGTCAATTTCTTCATTATAATTTCTGCATCATTCTCAAAGCCGACGACTTCATCATCATCAATTGATGGAATGCTGCGTTTGTTGGAAGGCTCTCCAGAAGAAAGAGTTTCCTTTCCACTAGTCTCAACAACATCCATGCCTTGACTAATTAGTAACTCTACCAACATTCAATCTTTCATAAAAGAAATGAAACAAACATTAACAATCTTAAACTTTTAGAGAAAAAAAAAACCCAAACCGAAAAATTATAGTAACAAAGTAAAGTCTTATGAGTCTAAAGGCAACCACTATATAATCAAGATGAATGAAATGAATAAAGCCCTTACTTTAGTAGTTCATTTCTTCTGATCTTAGGATGGAAATGTCTATGAATTGTAATTTCTAACTTAGTATAACAATGTTAGGATCCAAATAAATCACATGACATACGAAATCTAACAAAGCAAACCTCGAAAGACAACTAATCAGACAACATAAAGAGAAATATAACAAAAGAGACACAATAATTTAATATGGATCTCTCAGTTGACCTCAGATAAATAAATGAGCAATCTATTACCGTATAAAAGATATTACCAATTATTGAAAGAAAAATAACCTCATAGAATTTAGAAACCTGACCTTTCGTTATTGAGAGTGGCAATGGGGATGATTAGTTGCTCCAAGGTTGCTTAGTGCTTTTGGGTTTAGAGAAATCCAAACTCTAAGAAGAATGAAGAGTGATGTTAAAATCTGGATAGGAAGAAAAAACGTACTAGGTGCTTATTTTATTTTTGTTTCCCACCCGGTGTCTGGTACCCACATTGGAGCCCAATTAAACTTGGATTCACGCCAGAAAGTCTCATATTGGGAGTAAATTGCTCCCTAACAAAGGCAACTCCGTACTTAAGGGGGCTCAAACCCGTGATCTCTTAGTTAATGATGAAGGAGTACTTACCTCTCCACCACAACTTTATTGGTCATACTAAGTAATTATTATTCCATGTTTTGCGCCTCAATATTAATTATTTATTTTTTAAGATATAAGACTATATACTAATTAATATAAGTATTGTGATAAAATATTTATATTTTTTAAGATAGGTGCATAATTTTAAATGAACAAATAAAAATGATGGAGCGAGTACATGTTAATTAAACAAATATTGTAAATAGTACTACATAAGATGTTAATAATCATACACGTTAAGTTGGTATACCAATAATCATTTTTAATTTTCTAGGTCTGACTAAAATTTAAAACTCCCCATCAACAACAGCTGTATGTACAGTGTGCCGGTACCTCCATGTTATTTCCTTGAGAAGATACTTTTGTACCTTTTTTTTTAACTTATCGTAAATTTTTTTAATTATCATAATTTTCTTTTTATTTATATATAAAAAGAATCAATTAATTAAAATATACTAATTGACGTTAAAATAAATATTATATTGCTCTAAATAATTAAAAAATCCTATATAAAAAATAAAAGTTATTTGAACAAATATGAATCTTTCTTTAATGTTTTTAATTCTTTTATTTATTTATATATTTATTTTGATTACCACATTATATTGTCACTACAAAATTCCTAAAAGAAAGTATATTTGAGCCATTAGATATCAGAAAATAAAATATGGGTTTTTTTAATACCAAATTTCAGGTGAAGTTATGATGGCAAAATTCCTGATTTTCCCAACATTTTATTTTGTTTCCTAACGTTTAAGATAGTGACCGACATAGATTTAGCATGTATAAAATGATTATACGATTTGAGATGAAAACAACGATCAAGAGAATAATTTATTTATTTTCCAGATCTCATGTGTAAAAATGAAAATCGATAGTAAGAACGTCATAAAACTTGAAAAATTTGTAAATAGCATACAAAATCAGTTCCCCTGTTAAGAGCATGTTGTTGCAACAGTGCTACAATCCATTCTTGTGCTACATCAATACTGTACACAACAGCAGCAGCGCAAATAACTAAGCACTTTCACAAATTTATCTTCTTTTTTTCTACCTAGTGTTTGGAGCCTATAATGGAGCTCCAATTAAATCGTGCTCTGCGGGGCCCATTTGGGGGTGACGCTCCCAATATAATTTTCTCCATTATTCAGGGCTCGAACCCAGGACCTCTGGTTAAGAGTGGAGCACTCCCACCAGTGTAATTGAACTTTGATTAAATTTTAGTTAGAACAGAAGTTAATAGCATATTTAGTTAAATTTTTCAATGAGATTATTTATTTTTTTTAAAGTAATTTTCAAAAAGAAAATACTTTTAGTGAAAAAGCCGTTAGTGTTTGGTTAATTAATTTAAAAACATTTTTTGGTCAACAATTAATATTTAACCAAACTTTAAAAAAATGTTTCTAAGTATATTATCTTAAAAGTATTTTTTTCAAAAAAGTACTTTTTGAGAAAAATATTAATTTAGTATGTGAAAACAGTTTGTGCTGCTGCAAAAGCATTTATTTTCTGTCAAAAGCATAACCAAACATCTCATATTTTGAAATTGACCTCTCAAAGACTTGCAAAGTTGAATTGCAATCTCAGCTTCCAAGTTAAAAAGTTTCCTAATAAAAAAAAAACAGATAATGTGACAATACAAAAGTGGAAATAGAGCAACTTTGAATTGCTTCTAAATACATTTATATTCGGTTTACAATTAGAACATGGAGACTGTCACATCCTGTGTTTTCTTCAATGTCTCTTCTGATATTCATAGCTGAAACCCCTAGAGAGTCGATGCAGTTAGTCAGTTCAATACGTCTTAGTGTTGGAATATCCGCAAAGCTTGGGGGAATCTCCTTGAAATCGGAACATCCACTTATAACAAGCTTCTCAAGCACAGGAAAGGATTCCTCTGAAGCTTTCCATTCTTCTATCTGCACAAAGAATAATCCCAAGTATTTGAGTGCAGGAAACTCCACATTTGTGACATTCCAGCAACAGCTCCGAAACCTCTGTAATCTCATAAAAGGAAATCCCATGTGTAATTTGAGACTCTCAAGCTTCTTCAATCTTGCAATGTTTAAAACCATTTCTTCCGTCAAGAAACAGCCGCGAAGGTGCAAATGCCTAAGATTTGAAGGGAACACAAAATACCTCTCCCATCCAACTGACTTGAAGACTCTATTTAATGAGAACTTCAGAGTAACAGACTGAAGGCGAGTATGAACTTCTGGTATGGGAAACAAAGGAAACTTAGGTTTATATTTAACGCGGAGGCCGAGTTCTTCAAGATTCGGAAACCTCCACCACAACCTTGCATTCATATTATCCAACCGTATATCACAAGTACGAAAAGTCTTCATGTTCTCTAGCATAGTTGTTGAAGACTCTTCAAAACTTCCTTCGTCATTAATGTCTTCCCATACCACCCGAAAACTGTCTATATTCACATGCCTTAGCTTCTTCATTTCCCATAAAGTAGCAGCCCTAAGGCGTATACTCTTTTCACTTAACCTGACCTGCAGAGTTTGGAGATCGTGTAGGTGTGATATCCACTCCAATTCAAATTGTCTGACATGAAGTGCAAGGTACCTCAACTCAGTTAGCGATTGTATTGCAGTAGCCCATGAATCTGGCAATGCGACATCCATCAAATACAACGCCCGAACAAATCTTAATTTAACAAGTAAATCTAAAGGATTTGAATATTGGTTATTCCATGTATTGAATTTTGGATGAGCAATGAACTCCAAGGAATTTGTTTCCTTGAAATCCAGCATTGGAATCTTATCCAGCTGGTAGTCGGAATGATCTAATTGTTTAACAAGATCATCATGAATATAAATGCATAACCGTGATTCTGTGGAATGCAAATGTTGATACGGATTGTATGGCACTGCGAGCTGCATATACTTGTCTTCTGTGAGTTTTCTCAAGCAGAACTCACGCACTACATCATGAAGTGAACAGTATTCTACATCACGATTGTTGTGCCGTAATTTTCCTAACCTTTAGAAAAATCACATTTTTTGAAATGTTCTGAGTATAAAACAATTTGAGAAATAATTAGAAAGAGTCGCCACTTAATTTTTTAAAGAAATTAAGAAAACTTATAAATTTCAAAGATTTAAACAGAAAAAATCATTTGAAAATACCAAAGAGGGTTCGGGGTTCAATTTACACTTCGAGAAGGGTTTAAGCATTCGAAGTGTCCGCTAACATGCGGTTGACCTGCGACTTGACTAAAATATATTTGACTATTTTTAGAAAAATAACGATTTAACATAGAATAATAACTTACAATAATTGATTAACTTTAAGAAAATGATTAAATAAATGACGCGCTTTTATTTCATTTTTATTTTTAGAGAAAGGTATCCAAAATAAAAACATTTGAGTCAAAATACAAATGATTAGAATATTAATAAAACTAGATTAATTAGAATTTATTTAATTCATTTTAAACCAATTTAATAAATTAAAACATGAAAACCACTTTTGACTAACCCTTTTTGAGAAAATGACTTAAGTATTTATAATAATATTTTACAATTATAAGATTAACTTTGAAAAAAATATAGTTAAATAAAGAATAATTTTTAAATTTTTTGGAAAAATTGGGTCTCAATTGAAACAACTTGGTCAATTAGGATTTTAACAAAACTAGATTAATTAAAAATTTATTTATGTCATATTTTAGAAAGTATAATTCGAACCAACTTGGTAGACAAACCAAGACATTATTTTAATCTAATTAAAGATGAGTGAAAGTTCTTGACTAAAATATTTGAATGAGCATAGGAGTTGATAAAATGAATTATTTTTAAAGAAACTAACATAAAGAATATGGTTCATCGAAAGATTGAATGTTGGTGTAGTTGGCTGGTGAGAAAAATGGGAGAGAAGAAGGTGACAGTGGGGTGATAGTGTAAGAAAACAAATAAATAAATAATCACACAATTAAATAAGTTAGAAATTGAATTTGGGCCTCTTTTTGGGGCCAAATTCGCTGTAATTTCTGGGGATTTACTCAATCCCGTTTTTGGTATACAGCTGATGTATATCGGCATGTATATCAGCCCCTTTCATGTATTTTATTGCTTCCGAACACATGTATTTCACTCCAGCCCTGTATTCCTGCGTTTTTGACCTGTATATCGATGTATATCTGTTGTATATCATTGTATATTTGCCTTTTTCCACCTGCGTTTTTGGCTTTTTGAGATCTGTTTCAGCTTCTTTTATAACATAGATTTCCTCTTCGAATTCCATATGCTCCCAATGACGAGGTTGACTCGATAAGAGGGAGTTTTAGGCCTCCGAGGCCCATTTGAAATGCGAGGTGTAGACATGAATACATAGGACTCACTCGGACATACATAAAGTGGACAAATAAATACAAATTAGCAAATGGAATAAGAAGATTGATTGATGTACCATTTTAAACTAAAGGAAACTTTGGCATTTTCATTGCAAATTCAATTACAGCTAACCTTACACACCAAGAATGGGAAGAGACCACATGTGAGCATTATTAATTTCCAATCACATTGCATTATCATCTAGGGAAATCAATCACAGCACATGGTATTATTCCAAAACACATTGAACACTTCTAAATTTTTGAGCTTATTTGAAGATTATATACTAGCTATGTGATGAACAAATGGGAGAAGTTGAAACCTTGGCAAATCAAGCATGACGGATTCATCTACATCCAAACATCAAACTATGCTAACTAAGAAGACATAACACAACCGAATATGCTTAAGTTAACAAGAAAATGTAAAACAAATGCGCTTAGTTTAAAATCAACTCATTTAACAAGATAACATTTCCCAAATGCTAAAAAGAAACCAAACTTCCTGGGATCAACCACACTTGTTCGTTCCGCTAGGAAATATTACATTGGTATTAATAATCAACCGTATGGGGGCAACACTATGATCTTGCATGCTTGAATATGGTTAAATATATTAAATTCCTAGATCACACAATCACAACAACAATCAAAGGAGGCATTCTTGACAATAGCCACTGAAATAAAAAAAATGCAATTATTATTAGCTTTTAATCAATGAATGGGACCATAAACACGACATAACAGAGCTACAGGGATTAACATGGGGGCTTAAATAATTAGCAAGCCATATAATGAGCGATTAATACAAAAAAATTCATGCTTCCAAATAATTTCAAGGATGAAACTTTAACAAATTAAAACCCGAAAAATAATAAGATATTCTATACTAACTTTATGGCAAACGACTATTCACTTATACAAAATTACTAAGTAAAGGAGGTAAAGATTTGAGCAAATCTTAGGCATCAAAGCAACGGAACTCGAACAATAATGGAGAAAGGAGGAAGAGGACGACTAAACATTAATTGAATTCAAGCTAACTTAGATACAAACAATACAATTTCGTTTTAGCTCATTTTAAGGGTGTAGAAAATAAGGACATATATGTAAAATTAACATGGTAAAACACTTTACATGGAGGATTTAATAGAAGAACATATGCTCCAACAGAGTGTAAATGACCAGTTTATTGATTCACTTTTACTCGGCCTTAGTTAGTAAGAAAGTCGAAATACATCAACTCGCAAATGCAAAATAACACAGCCTACGCAACAAACGTTTATTAGAACACAGATTCTATAAATACAACAGCTAATATTAATCCCTAAAGAACAAATGCCATGAAGAAAGAATAAAATAAAAAAAATAAAATAAAATAAGACAGTGAGCACTCAATTTATATTATTTACATTAACGGAAGTAATAAGTAAGTTACGAACATCATATATCAGATTAGAGATGAACTATCTATGGAAGATGGTTTCGAACTAAAAAAAAAAATCTGAATTGCTAATCACAGCTAACAAGACAAGCTAATAGTAACAAAACAGAACGCACTTCGTCTGAAAGGAAAGGACGAGAATATTACCTTTTCCGGAGCAGCGATACTAGGACGACGAGCTGAAACGACGACCTTCACTACGAGAACTCAGTTACAGACAATGGTCAAGAGATTTGGGCAGAAAATTGAACCCAAACGCCGAAAGTTCTTGTATCCCCTGTTTTTGAAGTATATCTTCTTGTATTTAGACACTAATCCTTAAATATATATTTTTTGCTAAAATAAAAGAAAAATCCCCCCAAACAATGAATAAGAAGGGGTATTATATAGATGGGGGAATTAGGGCTCGGATTCTCGGGGGAAAGGATAGAATAGGAATTCTCCCACTCAATCCTCAATTCAAAAAATTTCAAGAACCAAAGAGCTGTTCGTTTTTCCAAGAAATCAACCCAAATCCCACGAAATCCGGATGACAAGATTAGGATGGGCGGCTGTTGCAGAGATTTGGACTACTGTTGCTTTGACATTTTTGGATTTGCGTCTGGGGAAGAGGAAGACGCTGGCAGGGGCTGTTTTGGTACTGTATGGATGTTGTTTATCGTATTGTAGAGTTGGAATTGTGAAGGGAAAGGGGATGGGGGTCGGCTGGAATTGCTACTGCTGTACGTATGTATTGTATTGTTGTTATATGTATTGTATTGTTGTGGGTTTGGGTTTATGGGTATGGTTGGAATGGAAAAGAATTGAAAAAGAAGTGGGCTAGGGGTAATTGATTTGGGCTGCTGGAGGGAGTATAATGGGCTGGAAATTTATTTGTGATTGGAAATGGGAATTGGGCCTGCTGGAGTGAAATAAAAGGGCCCAAAATTAATCTTAAAAGATGGGATGAATTGTTATTAAATAATGGGGTTTCAATTATAACCTAATAGAATTTAATTGGTGAATTCAACTAAAATTTAAACAAGATGAGTTAATATAAATTAATTAATGAGCTTCTTAATCCTAACGAAATAAGAAATAATTTACTTAATTATAAACTAACTGATTCAACTACAAAACCAATTAACTCGATATTATAACTATAACTTAAAGTAAATTAATAAAATATTTAACTAAAATGTAAAATCTTTTGTGATGACTTTTCAAATATTTATAAAATAACGTGATTGCTAAAATATACATGTTTATTATTAAAAAATGATAAAACTACTTTAAAAAAAATAACTTGAAAGTATTTTGAACTTCATAAAACTCATTAATTCAAAATTATAACTATCCCTGAATTTAAAATATAAACTCCTTTTTTTTTTTTCTTTTTTTTCTTTTAGACGATTTTCGAATAATCATAAAATATA